AATTTGGACTGATAGTGGATATTTGGTGCACATTTAACCCGAAATCGGATGAAGATATATATGGGAGCTATATCTAAATTTGATCCGATTCTCACCAATTTCAATAGGGTTCGTCCTTGGGCCAAAAAAATATTGTTTGGAAAATTTCATCTCAATCGGATAATAAATGCGACCTGCATTTTGTTCACAAGAATACATGGACAGACAGACGGACGGACAGACGGACTGACATGCATAAATCGACTCAGAAAGTGATTCTATGAAGGTTCTCAAAAGTAACTATGGGTCTATCTCGTTTCCTTCTCCATGTTGCAAACAAATGCACAAAGACATAATACCCTTACCACTATGTGGTGTAGGGTATAAAAACAACTGAAATATAAGTTCCGCAATAAAATGTTGATGGAATCGGACCCATCCAACCTTCGCTTACAATGTTGATAGATTTCGGACCCATCCAACATTCACTTACATTGTCGGTCGATTTCGGACCCATCCAACATTCGCTTACATTGTCGGTAGATTTCGGACTCGTCTGATGGCCTAGGCCATCGCTGTGTAAATGTAAGTAGAAATTGTATACAGGCTTTGGATGGGTCGCACCTACTCAGATGGAAGATGTATGTGCTAAAAATCCGCTGGGGTGCTATATTTGGCATAGGGAGTGTGTGAAGAGAAGAGGAATTATGAATTGTTGGTATACGGGTTCTATTAAAAGAATTTCGACAATGACGTGTTTTTTAAAATAGAGTGATAGAGCTAGAATTATGAAATTTGGTATGGTGATCAATGTGAGTGTGTGGGCCTAGATATGAGAGTGGAATGGAATGTAGCTTCAATTGTAAAAGGGGAAATGTTGCATATGATGGTACTAAATTATATACCATCGGTATTGGAAGTGTAGGAAACACTTGAAAAGTAAAATTTTGTTTTTTCCTAAATATTTTTAATTACTTATCGTATAAAAACGCTAACAAAATGCATTATATAATCATTATTAAATTATATTCCAAATATTGTAAGGCTACATACTCCCATTAACTCATAGCGCAATACTATGTGCCAGGACAAGTTTACACAAAACTGTGCCTTCCAGGACAATTCTGCCGGTACAATATGGGTACCTACGGAAAGCTTATGAAGTCTAGTTCCGGCCACTTTCGAGGTATATGGTCATTTCTCGAGGTATCCTTGGAACAGGATAACTCAATTGGCCAATATCCCTTCCAGGACCCATATTGTGCCTGCAGAATTGTCCTGGAAGGCATATTGGCCAATGGAGTTATCCTGTTCCAAGGATACCTCCAGAAATGACCGTATACCTCGAAAGTGGCCGGAACTTCCTATAATTTTCTTAATGCCAATGGATAGTAGACTTCAATCTTTGGAATATAATTTAATAATGATTATATAATGCGTTTTGTTGGCGTTTTTATACGATAAGTAATTAAAAAATTTTTTATGTAGCTCTGTTAACGCTAACATAGCAATGTTTTTTTCTCTGTTAAATTCGTGGCTCTAGTTAAATTCGGTATTTATCGTAACGGACCTAAATTTTCTATGCTAAGCAATATTCGATTGTAAGTTGGTTGGTAAAGCAAATTCCTAAATGCGACACCAAAGTACTCATAACAAAAATCCGTATAAAGGATTCTCTTTTTTTGAACTTTTAGCGGCTCAAAAAGTTGTCTTTTGATTTATGTCACAATGCAAAAGTCCGATATTGTTTTCCCACTTTAAATGGGGTTTTATACCCTCCACCATAGTATGAGGGGCATATTAAGTTTGTTTTGTTACACTTCGTTATATAAATTTCAGACCCCACAACGAATATATATTCTTGATCAGCATAAAAATCTATGTCGATTTAACAATATCCGTTCGCCTGTGGTAATCACTCTAGCTTCCGAACGAAGTGATATAGGTTGATTAAATTTTACTCAGATGTGTATTAGTTCTACAGGACTTTTGATATTGAAAATAAGTCAACGTTTTGGTATAGCCACCATATAACTGTATCTCCAGGTATTCGGTATTTGATAATTTATTCCACGCTTTTCACTGGAAATGTTTTGAATTTGAAGTTCGAAATGGTACTATAGCCCCAATATAATGGTAACTCCCTACATTCGGTATTCCTTTTCAATTGTGAAGGGTATTCAAAATGCAGCCCGTCCGAACTTACTGCTTTTTTACCTGCTATTATTTAAATTTCTTGAGGGAAAGATAAAACAGTGAGTATGTATTGTTCAATCAAGTTTTGTCAAAATATTATGATGGTCAAGGGTTAACTTTGATGCCTTTTTTGACAATTTTTGGGGAGGTACCAGAATTTAATGTTAGTAAAAATATTAGGATGTGTGAGTTTGAAGTCAATCGGATGTTTATTTCGCATATTATGTGTGTTTAGGATATTCAAAAATTGGACTCATTAATGGGGAAGGTACAAGAGGACTGGTCCAATTTATACCATCTTTACATCTAATCTTGTGTTGATAGAAACACTGCGATATGCTGAGTTTTGAAGGAATTGAATGCTTATTTGCTTTTATGAGCGTCATGGTTATTCAAAAATTTGACTCGTTGTGGTGGAAATACTAGAAAGAGTGATCTGATCTATCCCATTATCAAACAAAATCTTGTCTGAAATTTGAAGACAACAGGCATTTATTTAACATTTTCTAGATCTATAAATTTTCTAGAGTTGGTTAGACGATATATCCCATTTTCACACCAGATCTTGTGTTATTGAAAATATTAGGATATGTGAAATTTGAGGAGAATCAGATGTTTATGATGATCGTCGGCAACACTGCTCAGAAATTTGGTATTTGCAACGTTTCCGCAAAATTGGGAGATATTTTCTTGTTCTTTCAGGTAAATTGTTTTCTGTGATTTTTTGTGGGAGAAGGAAAAGAAGTGGACCGATATAGCCCATCTCCAGACTCCATCTATGAACGATGTACCAAGTTTGGATCAAATCAGATACTCCCTTCGAGTGTTATAGTGCGCACCAGTCAGACAGATTGACAGGGGATATATAAGTATGAGGGTATATTAATATGGAGGCTATACTTAAAAGTGGACCGATTTTGATACTCTTCGAATTTGGCTTGACAGGCAAAATCATTTGAGTTATATCTTGATTACAACTACCTAGAAATTTTTAAAACCTATACTTTTGTAGGTTTCGAAACATAATTCCAAAAAAAGGAAAAGAAAACAAATACCCTCCACCATTTGGAACGAATTTGGAAATTTCCAAAATAAAATCCGTTAACAATTCTGTTAAAATCTTTAAAAATCGAATATAGCCGTTATATTGGGGTCTATACGACGTGGACCTACACAGGCATTGTTTGTTGTTAGCCATTACCTTATTCGAATTCGAAACTTGAAACAAACGATGAATAATGAAGCTAAAATCATCAAAATACCGTATATAGGGGGGTACCGTTATATCGGTGCTATACGATGACCTGGACCTGCATTGACAATTTTCTGTTACAGGCTGTAGCATCCATTACGAACTTTAAATACGACATCTCAAACAATTTCTGTGAGTATTGTACCTAAAATCGTCAAAATACCGAATATAGGGAGGTACTGATATATGGGGCCTGTACGAAGACGTGGATCTGCACAGACAATTTTCTGTCTTAGGCTGTAGTATCCATGACGAAGTCTAAATACGTAATTTGAAACTATTCAGGTGAATAATGTCGCTAAAATCATCAAAATACCGAATATCGGGAGGTACCGTTGTATGGGCGCTATACGAAGACGTGGACCTGCACAGACAATTTTCTGTCATAAGCTGTAGTATCCATTACGAACTTCAAGTGCAAATTTGAAACAAATCAGATAAATAATGTCGCTAAAATCATCAAAATTCCGAATATAGGGAGGTACCGTTATATGGGGGATATACGAAGGTCCACAGAAAATTTTCTGTCTTAGGCTGTAGTATCGATTTCAAACTTCAAACATTAAATTTGAAACAATTCCGTGAATAATGTCGCTAAAATCATAAAAATATCGAATATCGGGAGGGGGCTATAAGAAAACGTGGACCCACATGGCCCATTTACGCACTTAACCTGCCTACTGGCAAAATATACATGAGTGCAAAAGGTTAGCCTTCTATCTCAATTTGTTCGAAAGATAGCGTGATTACAACAGACAGACAGACGGACTTTGCTAAGTCGACTTAGAATTTTACGCGGATCAAGAATAATAATAAAGAATAAAAAAATATATATATGACATAAGTATGGCCTCCTGAGTCACTTGTACCTTCAAAAGTACAATTCGAAAAAATTACAAATCGAGAAAATTGCTAAATACTAATTAGGACTGCTGCGAACTGAGCAACACTAAATTGCAGCGCCAATTGTTATTATTTTATTTTTTTATTAACAACTTCTACTTATTTTGTATTCGACCTTGGAACACTTGAGGTGCGATACAGTTTGTTCTGTTACTTTTTGCACATTTCTCCCAAAAATATTAACTTCTCAGGGAAATACTTCATTATTTTAATATTTTTATTTGTGATAGTGGGATCATAAATGTCTCAGCATTTTGTTTCCATTTTGTTTTGTTTTTTTTTTTTTTAATCACCAAAATAAATAACACTTCCTGGTTATATTGTTATTTTAATAAGAAGAGCTAATTTATTTCATTTATTTGCCATAATTTTTATTTATATCACCGTTGGTTCCTATTTCGCATTTTCGGTTAATTGAATTCACTGCTCTTTTTGGAATCAGCATCATCACATCATTGTTTTTAATTTCTGTTTATGGTAGAGAATGTGTTTTTTTTACTTTTCATATTTTTCACACTTTAATGTTTGGTGGGAGTAATTTATCGATCTATTTTTTGTTGTAGTGTTTATGTTTTATTGTTCACGGTTTTAATTTAATTTATGTTCAGTTTTTATTTTCCATTTATGGTCATATTTTTGGTTTATTTGAAAAACACTTTTGAATGCTTACTGGTAATGATATTTGCCATCATGTTCCACAATGGCCTCATTCGAAATCACTTCGACATCCTTGGCAGTTGCGATACCGACCAATGCCAAACCGACCACAGCTAAGAGGAGTTTCATTTTTGCAATAATAAAGAGGATACGAATAAAAAACCCGAGATAACAAAATAATATTTAAATTAATCGAATCAAGTCAAATGCACGAATGATACGATTTTGGCCAGCCAAACAAGCTTTTATACTAAAATGTTATTAACTAAAAACTACAAGAAAATACAAAAACAATGACCAAATAAAAATTCCTGAACCGTAAACAGAAAATTTCAATTTTTATAGAATCAAAAAAAAAAAAAAAAAGATATCGTCACTTTTCTGAACTTGTTTTCTGTAGGGGTGAAGCGTTTTTTACGTAGTCGTTTATTCAAGTATTGGTATTCTTCTTCATATTGATACAGCATCCAAGATGCTTTCTTCTAGTTTCTCCCTCCCTCTCGCTCAGCTCCACAAATGGAGTGTGAATTTCAACACAAACCCAACCATAAAAGATGAAAATCAATATTCAATAAACATTAAATATAGGCCATATCATATCAAATGACCGGTTGGTTGGTAAAACTAAGTAGCAAATTTTAGAATGTCAAAACGCCACTAAACGAATTCAAAACAATAAATCACAAAAAAGAAAAGAGGAATATTTAAAAAGAGATTCTTTCAAATTTGTGAACGAAATCGTTCGCATTCTAAAGAGATCGATTGGGCGATTCTTTTGTCAAATTCCTGAGAAAAGTATTGGATTTCATATCTCAAACGTGGGGCAATGACTGCGTCAATGTTTTATTAAGTTTTTATTCAAATTTTTGATCTCGAGGCAGTGAAGCTTCCTACACACATGCCCTATGTTGTTTGGATAATGATAATATTTTTATACCCTCCACCATAGTATGGAGGGTTATTAAGTTTGTCATTCCGTTTATAACATCCCGAAATATATATTTTAGACCCCACAAAGTATATATATTCTTGATCAGCATAAAATTCTATATCGACTTAGCGATGTCCGTCCGTCTGTGGAAATCACTCTAGCTTGCGAACAAAATGAAGTAAGTTGATAAAAATTTACTCAATAGTGTATTATGTCGGCAGGACTTTTGGTATTGAAAACGGACCATGTAGGTCAACGTCTTCGTATAGCCCCCATATAACGGTACCCCCCGATATTCGGTATTTTGATGATTTTCGCGACATTATTTACCGGAACTATTTTAAATTTGGTATTTGAAGTCCGTAATGAAAACTACGGCCTATGACAGAAAATTGTCTGTATAGGTTCATGTTTCGCATTTGAATATTGTGATAGCTTGTGACAAAAGTTGCCTATGCAGGTCCACGTCGTCGTATAGACCCTAATATACGGCTACATTCGGTATTTTTAAAATTTTAAAAGAATATTTAACGGATTTTTTTTTTGAAAATTGTTAAATTTTTACCAAATGATGGAGGGTATTCAAAGTTCGGCCCGGCCGAACTTACAGCTTTTTTACTTGTTTACTGTTAGAATTTTAGAACAAATTCCGTCACACATTCCTAACTTCATTGGAATGTGATATATATAGTGTATTTGGTGCATCAAATATTTAAAATCAGCCGAATTTTATATGGAAGCTATAACCACATCTGAACAGATTTCAATATAAACTGGCAAATTTATTTTCTGATCAAATACGGTCACTCATTCTAAATTTCTTTGGATTCGAATATACATATCGTGGCTGATGCATCAAATAAACGAAATCGGTGGAAAATATATATAGGAGCTATATCCAAATCTGAAACTATTTCAATATAATTTGGCAAATTTATTTTTGTATCGATTTCCGTTACACATCGTTAAATTTCAAAACACTGTTAAGGGCAAGATAAGGATGTGTTTTGGAGATTTGATCTAAAAGGTGTTCTAATTATGTCGTGTTCGCTTAAGATAAGGTAGTGATTTTATTTATATAAGTATTCAAATTGCACGAAATAGTGGTACATATGGTAAAACTGTATTCGGAAAATGGTACGTTGCTGTGGTGGTTTTTAAAAAAAAATTGGTTTTTAAAAAATTTGAGCTACAACTACACATTAAGAACTAAAATCTACTATTGGATGCCACGTAGACAACAGGAACCTTAGAAAAATAGTGAGCACATCAACAGTATTTTCTATTTTATATTTAACCATTCTACAAACAAAAACGAAACATGTGTGCAAAATAATTTGATGCGGTATTCTAATTTTTAGCATTCTACTATCCACCCACAAATTATAACAACGACTTATGGACAGGTGATTAATGGGAATTCTATTTTTTCTCCGCTAGAAAGTTGTTTTACTACTTTCACATTAAATTTATGCGAAGACATCTTTGACAAAATATTTATTTTGGCTCCACACATATTTGGTCAGTCAAGGTCGTATTGACCTTGTTATGCGAATTTAAAACGGTTTGATAAACTCCAAAAATATAGTTGTCGACAGTAGTTTGTTGTTTAGTTCTAAATGAAATTTGTTTAATAAAAATTAATTAATTTAGACAACATTTCAAAAAAATTATTTATAATATCACCTTTCGTCGACATTATCAATTGAGGATTTGTTAAAAAAAATCCGTCATCAATTGAATTATTTTTTACCTCTTCATTAAAGTTTGTTAAACATGTGCTGCAGATTAGCTAAACGTTGAAACAGGAATAAACAAAAAGATAACAAATTCATTTAAATTTTATAACAATACTTTTGCAGATTTTACTTTTTTCTATTTATATAAAAATAAAGAAAAATATTTTTTGGAAGAATGATAAAAATGCCAATCTGATGACGACATTCCCAATAAACTTCTTGTTATATTTCTTTTGCATAATAATGTCGTTAAAAATAAATGTAGTCAACAAAATTGATGAACCAAATTAGTTATTTTGCTAAATTTTTAAATAAAAACTATTTTGTTATAAAATCATATATATTTATTTTAAAATGTCCTAAAACACAACACACTTTCACCAAAAAGAAATAAACTAATTATTTGGATTGTTTTTTTTCTGGAGATATTTTTGTGATCAAAATAAAACTCTGGCCTTTGATATCGCCGCAATAAACAACTTGACCAAAACTCAAGAGGAGATGCTTAAAATATCTTTGTATCTTGGTGACAGATTTGAAATATTTTGAAGTGTTTGGCCATTTTTTAGAAGAAGAAGAAAAAAAAAACAAGAAGCAATAAAATTCTATGTGAAATTGTTAAGAAAGGAAATGTATTTTGAAACTAATTTGATTGGATTTTTTTGATATTTATTTTTTGGAATTTATTTTTTGAGATTAGTTTTTTGGTACGGAACGAGGATTTAAAAATATTCTTAAAGCTTTCCAATCGTAGATTTTTAAAATACTTTTGTTAAGCTTTCTAAACCTTGATATAAAAAAAAAGTTTCACAGTTTTCAAAACAATAATTTTAATAATATCTTTAAAGCTTTTAAAAAGTGTTTTTTAATAATTTCCATATTTACCAAAATGGATTTGGAAAATATGTTCAAAGCTTTTAAAACGAATGTTTTAAAAAAATTCAATGCTCTTCGAATCTGGATTTGAAAATATTTCCTTCCAAAGACCTTCCATTTTACAGTGAATTTTTGAACATGGTTTTTATATAATTTTCGAAACTTTCCAAACCTGATTATTTGTAAATATTTGCAAAGCTTTCCAAACGTGGATTAAAAAAAAAAAAAAACATTTTAATGCAACTGTAAAAATATTTTCAAAGCTTTCCAGAAAACGTTGATTTTAAGACTACTTTCAAAGCTTTCCACATTTGGCATATTCAAATATTTTATATTATATATTTCATAAGCATGGATTGTTGTAATATGATAAAAGCTGTCACAAGCGTGAACTATGAAATTGAAAGATTTCACAAGCGTGGATTATAAATATTGAAGTTTTCACAAGTGTGCATTTTGTAAATATCTTCAAGGCTTCCAAAGCGTGGATTAATAAAATATGTTCAAAGCTTTCGCAAGCGTGGATTTTTAAAATATTGTCAAAGCTTTCTATGCTTATTTTTTTAATATTTTAAAGCTTTCATACGCGTGGTTTATTAAAATATGTTCAAAGCTTTCACAAGAGTGAATTTTTAAAATATTTTCAAAGCTGTCACAATCGTAGATTTTGAAAATATATTCAAAGATTCCACAAGCGTGGATTATTAAAATATGTGTTTAGTTTTCAAAAGCGTGGATTCTTAAAATACGTTCAAAGCTTTTACAAGCATGGATTATTAAAATATGTTCAAAGCTTTCACAGGCGTGGATTATTAAAAAATGTTTAAAGCTTTCACAAGCGTGTATTAAAAAAATTTATGTCTAAAGGTTTCACAAGCGTGAATTTTTTAAATTTTTTAAATATTGGAAAAGCTTTCCAAACGTGAATTTTTTATAAATATCGGAAAAGCTTTCCAAACATGGATTTTTTAAATATTTTAAATTTTTGAACATGGTTTTTATATAATTTTCGAAACTTTCCAAACCTGATTATTTGTAAATATTTGCAAAGCTTTCCAAACGTGGATTAAAAAAAAAAAAACATTTTAATGCAACTATAAAAATATTTTCAAAGCTTTCCAGAAAACGTTGATTTTAAGACTACTTTCAAAGCTTTCCACATTTGGCATATTCAAATATTTTATATTATATATTTCATAAGCATGGATTGTTGTAATATGATAAAAGCTGTCACAAGCGTGAACTATGAAATTGAAAGATTTCACAAGCGTGGATTATAAATATTGAAGTTTTCACAAGTGTGCATTTTGTAAATATCTTCAAGGCTTCCAAAGCGTGGATTAATAAAATATGTTCAAAGCTTTCGCAAGCGTGGATTTTTAAAAATATTGTCAAAGCTTTCTATGCTTATTTTTTTAATATTTTAAAGCTTTCATACGCGTGGTTTATTAAAATATGTTCAAAGCTTTCACAAGAGTGAATTTTTAAAATATTTTCAAAGCTGTCACAATCGTAGATTTTGAAAATATATTCAAAGATTCCACAAGCGTGGATTATTAAAATATGTGTTTAGTTTTCAAAAGCGTGGATTCTTAAAATACGTTCAAAGCTTTTACAAGCATGGATTATTAAAATATGTTCAAAGCTTTCACAGGCGTGGATTATTAAA